CCCAGTTCTCACAGAGTATAACAGAAAAAATATGAGATACATTAAAAGTATGGAAGCTCAGAATAATTACTTAGACTTTAATATCACTTTACTAGTGTCAATCATGTTGTAAGCATAGAATAAGGAACCACTGTTGTCCATGTTTTTTTACTGTTTCATGCCCATGTGAAGCCTTAAATTTACAGGCAGAATATATTGGTTCTCAAGCAGCTTAAATTTTATCTGGGAAGAGAGACCACATCAAAAGCAATAAAAATATACATGGCATACTTCTATAGATATAAAATGACAGTATAAAAAAAATGTATTATGCCACTAGAATGCCAATTGGAAGAGTAATCTGATGTTGGAGATGTTGAGCAAGAAAGGCTTTTGAAAAAGTTCTTGGGTGAGATTTTGAGGAAAGTTTTAGACAAGGATTTATAGGAGAGAGAGAACAAGCGGTATTTTTGCAGAGCTTTTCCTTTCAGGAGTTCAGTCAGGCCACACTTATTCTTTTTCTGCAAGACTTTGAAGGCTATTTTGTAGTATGTTGGCAGAGTTGATATTTTTTAATGCTCAAAAATATGTAGACAGTCAAGTGTACTATATATAGAAATGAGAAAGAATAACATTGGTAATCATCTCTAGTCTCAGTTCAGTCTTGTCATTTTCCTCATTCTATTCAATAGAAACACTGCACTTTCTGCAGGAGGTAATAACATATTTCATCCATGGATACTGACATTAAGGAGCTTACACTTTCCCTTAGACATTTAGGTTCCTAAGTGAGAAATTAAACAATATGCAGTAGCCACCTCTGTTACAGGTGGGAAGCGCTCCTTATCCCCACCTGTTTCTGGGAGATGTGGGTTTCTCACAATATCACGAGAAAAGGAATTTTCTGAGACTCACAAGAGAGGATGAGTTATTGCAGGAAATTTTATTTCTGTGGAATTAAACCCCTGAGTTTCCAAGGTTCCACTTCCCTTCATCTCACCAAGGAAGAAGTCCCATTTTGCTTTCCGCAGACATAGGATTAGAGTTGTTGCCCAGAATTTCCGTTCCATGTTGGGACACAGTCCAATCCAGTACCAGGCCAGCTTAGTTCCCTGCTGCAGTTTATCAGCCCACTGTCTGTGGGTTCCGAAGGGCCCACAGCTATGAAGGGAACATGGGCAAGAGAGCCACAAGCCAAGAGTCAAGAGCTACAAGAGCCAAGGGATTGAGAATTCCTTTGTCTGAGATTATGTATCCCCAAAATTTCACAGGTTTTTAGTGACTCTGACCCCTCTGGCTAATGATCTGTTTCCAGGTTTGACTGACAGGCATCTTCCCTATGTCACCCCCACTCACTGAGCATGCACCCAGCTTCCCTTTTGTCCAGTGTTCTGCAGGGAATGGACTGGAAGTTCCCTGGGGAGTGTAAAGTTGCAGCTTCCTAGTGTAGCTGCCCAAATGACGTGCCTATAATGTAGGGCTTCCCCCTTTGCTCCTTTCCTATTATTAATAACTAGCTCATTACAATGGTATCACCTGACATACAAGAAAAGTCACAAGGTGGTGGCTGATAAATATTAAAAATATCAGTGCAGACAAGTCCTAGCAAAGTCCATCAGAGGCAGAATCTTTGGGGGCTGGCTTGGAGGACAAGGGCTCATGAAAGAGATGTAACAGCAGGGAAACTACAAAGGTCCTCTAAACCAAGATGACTCCCTCCTATGACATCACTAATAAATGGCTCTTCTTTATTTTTTTTTCTCTCTCCAGTAATAGAGAATTCACTTTCATAAGACATCTTATTTCAAGTTCTTAGAGAGACAACTTGGACTTATTCCTTATGCTCAGCCCCAAATTAGCCTTCTTATTAAATCTGATCCTGCTATCCAAATCTTGAATGATAAGAACACGAAATATAAGAAGTATAAGAGCTTCTTCCTTATATTCAGCCCTAAATTAGCCTCCTTATTCAATCTGGCAGTGCTATCCAGACCTTCCCTGTGTTGGTCATTCTCAGGGGCCACAGTGTATCACAGATTTGCTGGCTTATTTATTCATTTGCCCTCCAAGCTGTACTGCCAGGCCTGACGTAGCCACAGCATCAGAACTGTGACCAGGAGAAACCTCCTGTGTTTATTCCAGTGCATTAACTGTTATCACCTATTAAGTAATGGATTGTGAAGCATTGCTCTGTATAGCGTGGTGGATTGTGAAGCATTGCTCTGTATAGCGTGGTGGATTGTGAAGCATTGCTCTGTATAGCGTGGTAGTGAAGAGATCCAGGTTCTGGAATCAGACAGACCAAGATTAGAATCTTGGCTCTGTTATTTATTAGTTCTCATACTTTGGGAAAGAGATGACAGCATTTTAAACCTCAATTTTTACACTATAAAATGGGTACAGTAATACTGGATACCTTATAGAGTTGGTATAAGAAAGGTGATAACAATTAGGACTAATAAAATTCTATTATTGTTATGTTTTCTGCTTTTACCCTCTTTTTTTTTTTCTTTTCAGAAAAAGGGAGGAAGAGGGGAAAAGAGAAACAACAATGATAAAAGAGAATCAGCTGCCCCAACTGGGTATCCAACCCACTCACTGGGAATCCAACCATGACCTCCTGTTCATGGCTCGATGCTCAACCCCTGAGGCACACCGGCTGGCTGCTTTTACCCTCTTTAATCATGATATACAATTTCTGTCTATTTTACAAACTTCAAATTATTTAAAGCTAGTTTTCCCTTTCCTCTAGGTCTCCTCCTCTGGCTAAATATCCCAAGTTCCTTCAGCATCTCCTTGTCCAATGTGAGTTCAGATTTTCTTCAACTTTTTACCCGCTCTTTTCTAGATACCCTATAGTGTCTTTGTGTTCCCTTTTAAATATACAGTCCTAAGAACAGACTGAATCTGGCTGGATGAGATCGTCCTTGAATAGTGGAGAGAACAGGGAAATGGAGGAAGGATATTCTCACTGTAGAACAGGGTAACGAGCAAAGAAAAAGAAACCATAATACACATGTCATATTTACAAAGCACATGGGTCCAACTTGCTAAAAGAGAGCCACAGGGGGAAAAAGACTTTTAAGGGATAGATTGGGAAGTCCCTGGAACTATGAGACTATGGGTTCTATTAATATAAAAGAAAACCAACAAAATCATCACTATAGGTGACTGATGTACCACTTGAAAACAAGCAACCACAGAATTTCTGAGCCACTCACAAATAGCAAAATGCTATAAACAGTATAACCCTTCTGTTGCTCCCCTTGGATGAAAGCAATCAATAACCCTAGAATCACCCCAAAGGAGATGGTGAAAACTTGGAGATGATTCACAAACCACACATTTCCTTTGGCTGCTGCAGTCCACTCTGGTTAGAAAGAGGTTAATTAATGACCCCAAGGAATTCCTTTATCCTAATGTGGGAGTCTCAACTCAGAAGCTTCAACCTCCAATTTCTTTTGTTTCTAACCCTTTGTCTTCTTGCCTTCTGGTCCTCTCTCTATTCATTCAGTTTGCCTAAGACTTAGCAGCTGTTGTGATTCATGCCCCACCTCTGCTGAGCACTAGCTGTATGACTCTGGGCTACTCAGTTTTCTCTTCTGTAAAACAGATCTTCACAGGACTTTAAAAATTAATTGTGAGCATTAAATGAGTTAATGTGCAGGTTCCCCACCCCTCTTATCCAAAAGCAGAATGTTCCTATGAAACCTTTTGTAAGCTGAAATGGCCTGAAGTAAAGAAGTAATTACCATTAATGTACATGGGGAACATTTTTGGGCATTCCCAGATCTCAGAAATAACCTACTAAATCATACCAAATAAAACCTAAAATAACACTAACATGGTAAAAGGAATGATGTGATAAATACACAGCCTACATAGAGTAGAAATAGTATGTGTACTGAAAGATCAGACGGAGGCCTAAAACCAGGACTACAGGCTTTATTAGAGGAGACGCACCTGCCGGGCTGCCTCACAAGGGGAGAACAGCAACACGAGCAGGGGTGGGCATGCCTTTTGAGGGGCGGAATGGGAAGGGGTGGGGGGCTTAGTGTACTCGGCGCACACTGATTGGTGGCTTACTGCATTGTCCATATAGGACAAGGGCTTAGGGTATTTGGCAGGTGTTGATTGGTGGTCCAATGTATAGTCCATATAAGGTACCTGGTTAGTCACTCAGGTATTTCTGGGCTGCAGGTTAAGTCACACCCCGCCCACCAGCTGGGGGAAGGGAGGATCTATCATGTACCATGTTGTTTCACTCACCAGTGCGTACTGCCTCTGTAACAGCTTGCTGCAAACAAATGCTGACCACTATTCTGGCTTTTCACTTTTTTTCATAAAAGTCAAAATCCTCTCCGGATTACAAGTCGAGTTGGCATTAAGCCAACTTTCGAAAACCCGAGTACCTGTCTCTAAAGTGATGAGAGTCTGGCAATGTGCTATTTATGTCCATTGTTACTTTGTACCATTACTGTTCATGATTCAACAGATACCAGACACTCTGCACAGGAGATGCGAAGGTGAACAGGACAATCTCTTATCCTCAATAGCCACATTTTTCCTGATTTTGTGGGCAAGGTAATGACTTTAGAAACAGGTTCCTGGATACAATTTATTAGCGACCACTTACTGTTTTTGAAACCTTGGATGAGGCATATAATTCCTGTAAGCCTCTTTCCTCATCTATAAAAGGATTAATAAAGTCCAATTAGTTTAGAAGATATTTTCTATTAAATCAGACAAAATATGCATATATTTTGGTAGGAACTAAATGTACACTCCTTCCCCCATAATCCTGTGGCTACACCTGAGCTTGGGGACTCCGCCTTGAGTTTAGGAGGCAGGAGTGTGGAGGTATAGGGAAGGGCAGAAGCCAGGAGGTGGGAGAGAGAACAGACCTGAGGGAGGCAGGCAGCCCCACCCCCGCCCCCGGACTACATCTCCCGGGATGCTCCGCTAGAGGGAGCGCCCCGCCCCGCCCCGCCCCTCTGGCACCAGGGGCGCAGCCCACCGGAGGAGCTCCGCGGCGTGCGGTGGCTACAAGTGCCACAGCGGTGATCGCGGACTTTCCGGAGGAACCCTCGGGGACTAGCGCGGTTCTGCAGCCGCACTGGGTGGGCCAAGCAGGTGAGTGGCGGAGAGCAGAGGAGAGGAGGCACTGGAGCGAGGGAGGGACCCCGGGAGCCTGGCGGAGCAGGGGAGCGCGTCCCCACTTTCTGCCCGAGGTGCCTGCCCAGCCTCTGGGTACTCGGCGAAGAACGCAGCCCGAGACTGGGTGCTTCCCGAGGGTGCGGAGTTCACCCGGAATGAATTGATTGATTCCTCGCTGCCCAAGTGCTTGCAGCGCGCGGTCCTGCACAGCACTCCCAGGACGCATGCCGAGGTCGCCTTCCCCAGACCAGCCTCGCCCGTGTCAGTTAGTTCCAGAGCAGATATTCATGCTTTAATGGATGGCGACAGACAAGGGAGATTGCTGTCTCCTTGCTTTGAGGTGCAGTTTTATCAATTGCGCTCTTAAACCGGAGAGAAGAAAGGGAAGGGAGAGCTGGAAAGAGCCTTTAGCAGGTCTCCTGGGACTATCTCTTCTCCGTCGAGGATGGAAACCCCGGATCAAGGAGCTGCAAAGGAAATCCACTGTAAGGCTAGTATATCGCCCTTGGAACCAGAGGAGTCTCTCTTTGAAGAAAAGATAGACAGACGTAGGACCAGGGAATCAAGTGGAGATTTCTCTCCCTCTTTGTAATTATAAATTGCAAGCCCCCTAAGGGACTTTGCCGATTTTATCCCAAGTAGTCCAGTGCGATGAGTTCATTGTGCCAAAGGTTCATCGGGGTGCCTAATGTCTGAGCGACCTTCGAGATGATTTCTCCTTTCAGTAATAAAACTCCTTACATCCCTTCGTTCACTGAGGGATCCTGCAGTAGGGATCTGTCCACTCGCTCAGGGAAAGCTCTGGTTCAGTTGTGATTTTCCTGCACTTGGTGTATTTTTGTTTGTTTTGTTTTAGCTGCAGAGAAACTCCAAAAATAAAAGGAAAGTGGGTTTTAAAAAAAGCTGATGTATAGCAGAAAACGTGTGGATTCCCTCTCCCATATTTTAAGTGAGTTGTCAGATTGACCTTAGCCTTACCTGTGCTTCTGTGTGGGTTACCAGCTCTTGGGGCTGTGGATTTTGAATCATAAAAAACCCCAAGCCATGGGTTAAATCAATTACTACCCTGGACTTGGGGGCTTTATTTTCTTTGAAACCTCTGAACTTTAGAAAGTGAATTTTTATTCCTCAGAAAAATGTCAGAGGCAGAGAAAGATGGGCACATGGTTTTCTGCTTAACTTAATAGTTCTGTCCCAGGAAGGTCCCTTGCTGTGCTGGGGGTGAAGGAGTGTTATGGATACAAAGTTCCAGAGGTACCCTTGGAAATTGCTTCTCACCTATTTGCCTCAACCAAACCCTGACTCTGTGGGTTTATAATTTGTCTTTTGTTGTCAGCTTGCTTCTAGATTGGGTTTGTAAATCTTCTGGTCAAGATCCTGTGCACTTTTGTTAGCAAAACCTGCAAAGGGAGAGGAACTCAGACCCACGCAGAAGTTAGTGAGCAGCAGTAGACAACCTGTACCTGGAGCAGGCAGAGGTGTGTGTGTGTGTGTGTGTGTGTGTGTGTGCATGTGTGTGTGTGTGTGTGTGTGTGTGTGTGTGTGTAGGAGTGGGTTGGCGTATTTGCAGGGATCACACTATGAGGCATGTTGTCTACATACTTCCAGGTCCATAACATGCTGCCCTCGTGTAGCAGCAAGAGGATGGGTTAAGAAGGGAAGCACAGTGAACAAGCTTGGGGTCTTGTAAATACAGGGCTGTGTGACCAGCGTCATTGGACGCATGCAGTGCAAGGTTAGGAGAGGTGGCTGATTAAGCTGCCGTCTTTCACCTACACAGTCAAAATGCTGAGCCCCAGCTCCAACAGCCCAACTGATAGTGACATATGCGTTCACCCGTGGTGATGCGCTACAGCTAATCTGTGTTAGAATCTGCTCTGAATTAAAGAAAGGGTAAAAGCTTATAATTTAACTGAAATGTTGAGAATTCTGTGCTTCCCGTGTTCTCCAGAACATCAGCAGTTCTTCTAAAAAAGGTCCCTGCCTTTCTCATTTGTGTCTCTGCACAGGAAGCCTGCCTTCTCATTGAGGGATCCTGTCACAGAGATGTGTGAATCCTTGGATAAATTTGGCCTGGTGACGGCAATGCCTTCTTCAGAGACACTGCTACTTCCCCCCTGCTCCTTTTCTTCCCTGACCTGAGATTCCTAGTGTTAATCCCTGTGATAAATCAGAGGGTTTGCCCTTTTCACACTTTCTAGCTACTAGACATCCTCTGCTTTCCCTCCCCCCTTTCAGGACGACCTGGGCTTGAAGTGTCAACACTGTGGCTGCCAAGGAGATGGGGGCCTCCGAAGCAGCACTCCTGGTGGTGCAGCCTTAGGTGGTTCTTCTCTGTGCTGCTATTGGCAGAATTTCTGGGACCTGCTGGGGGATGTCTGGGTAGTTCTAATGGAGCCCCACCATCTTGCTAGGAAGAGCGGCCAGGCAGCCTGGTGTGATGCTGCGGTCTGGGGTTCAGGAGGGCCTCCAGCTGACCAGGCAGATGCAGCAGCCACCAAAGCTGCTCTCTGCTGCCAGAGACACTGCACGTCCCTGCCAAGAGCAGCCGAGGTGGAAGGCTCTAAAGTTGGTCCTTCTCCAGCCTCCCCCTCCCCCTCTCTGCAAGACAACGTAATCCAGCCAAACTCCTTCCCACCAGGACCTCTCACCTCAGGGAATCACCAAATAGCAGAACGGAAAGTCTGCAATTGCTGCAGCCAGGAACTAGAAACTTCTTTCACCTACGTGGACGAGAATGTGAATTTGGAGCAGAGGAACCAGAGCTCCCCTTCAGCCAAAGGGAGTAATCACCAGGGAGACCTTTGCTGGGGAAATCCCAATGAGTGGTCCCACGAGGCTGCCATCTCCTTGATATCCGAGGATGAAGAGGACACGAGTTCGGAAGCCACGTCTTCAGGGAAGTCCGTAGACTATGGTTTCATCAGCGCCGTCTTGTTCTTGGTCACTGGCATCTTGCTGGTGATCATCTCTTACATCGTCCCGCGGGAAGTGACTGTGGATCCCAACAGCGTGGCAGCCCGGGAGATGGAGCGCCTGGAGAAGGAGAGTGCCAGGCTGGGGGCGCATCTGGACCGCTGTGTGATTGCCGGGCTCTGCCTGCTTACTCTTGGGGGGGTCGTTCTGTCCTGTTTGCTAATGATGTCTATGTGGAAGGGGGAGCTGTACCGTCGCAACAGGTTTGCCTCTTCCAAAGAATCTGCAAAACTCTATGGTTCCTTCAGCTTCAGGATGAAAACCAGCAGTCACGACAATGCCCTGGAGCTGTCCTTGGTAGAGGAAGATGCTCTGGCTGTACAGAGTTAACTCTGGTTGTGAACTTGAGAGTCTGCCTTGGCATTTTTTATATGAAAACACACACACAGCCACAAACAAAAACAAACCCCATTTCTTAAAATTAACAGTGCAGTTTGTTTGCCTGGAAAGAAAAATTGATTTCCCAAACCAACAGCCTGTGAGTGTTTTTGTTCTCCACGTATTTTTTATTTAGAAGAAAATCCATGTAAGTTGCATTAAGAAACCACACTCAGCTACACCTGTCCTTCTAAAGAGCTGAGATAGATTAATCTGTGATGGCCATCAACTTCTACTTCTCCAGCAAAATATTTCTAATGGCCCAGTGTACAAATGATTTCTTTGATAAGATATAGGATATTATTCTTTGGACACTAGGAGTTCCCATACACAGATCAATTGTAGACATCAATTTTGTCAAAAAGAGCTTAAGCACTATTCATATAATAAGGTTTATAGTTAACTAGAGGCCTGGTGCATGAATTCGTGCACAGGTGGGGTCCCTCAGCCTGGCCAGTGATCTGGGCCAATTGGGGCCATCTCACCCAGTCCTGATTGGGGCTAATAGGGGTCAGTTGGGGAGGGACTGCAGGAGGTTGGCTGGCCTGCGCTGATCTGGGCCAATGAGGGCTGGCTGGCCGGGGAGGGACTGCAGGAGGGCTCCCTGGCATGTCGGGACATCCCACCCAGGCCCAATCAGCCAGACCCCAGCAGCAACCTAACCTACCAGTTGGAGCGTCTACCCCCTGGTGGTCAGTGGGTGTTACAGCGACTGGTTGAAACACAGCATATTACGCTTTTATTATATAGGATTCTTAAAGTTTCTTATTCATTTTTTTTTATATGTTTTTCTTCCTATAATTTGGCTACACACTAAAATATAGGGTTTTGAGTTTGAATGTTTCAAAAAGTGAGGATTGTTGGTTATTTTTTTAAACTATAAATTGCATATATTTAAAATTACCCCTGTACTCAGAAGTGGTAATTAAGTCACTAGAATACACTTTCTAGTAAAAGGAAATTATATAAATCATTACGAGATCAATCTGAATTTAACCTATAATGGTAATGCCAGATAATAGCCAGTGTCTCATGCCCATTCTCTAGATGAAATAAAATTACTGGCTGATATAAATTTCATTTTTTGTCTGCGGTTTAGCTATGATACTGGTTACCCATGCTCTTGAAGTCCTTCCTGGCTCTCACATCCGAGAGGCAGTTCGTAAGACATTTTAAAAATATTTCCAGACATGCAAACATCTAGGCAGGTTTGAGTCATGATTGGCTCAGGCACACTCCCAGCTGATGTTTTGTTGTTTGGAGAAAACTTCCAATACAATTGTAGCTGGACTTGGGGACTGTGCCTAAAAGCATGTATTACTGGCTCTAGGCCATGCAATGAGACATTGCCCCAGGATGTCAGCAGTCCTTAAAACCCATAGACAAAAAATTAAAATGGAGAGAAAGTCAATGGGAACTGCACCCCTCATCACAATGGTCTAGGCATCACTCTGAGTTCTTATATCCAAGCCCTCAGTGACTGAGCTCAGGAAGCTCCTATGAGAGGCATGATGGGCAATGTGGCAAAACACCCAGTATACACCCTAACACATCATCTTCCCTAAGGTAGTGGTTCAGGAAGTGCAGCCTCAGAAAGATCTTGAATTTTGCAATTATTCCTTGAGATGGTTCCAACCTCATGCGGGAGGATTTGTTGTGGCTTCTAGTACTGTGTTACCATTTTCAGTGGGGTCATTCTGAAAGAGGACTGGAGCTGGGGGTTGGAGTGGGAGGGCAGGCATGGGGAAGTAAGAAAGTGATTTCTTTGCAGATTGTAAAGCCTAATGCCTGCTGTCTTTTGTTGTTGAGGACTGTGGAATACGTGGGTGACTTTGGCTGGCAGAGTGTGTGAGTCAGGATTTCTATATGAATGAGCTCTTGGGTGTCAAATGGATTTGATAAGTATGCAGTGTGTGACTAAGGGTTAAAGGGAAACACAAAAGGGAAGATCAGAGGACAGTAAAAAATAGAGAGGATGGGTATGTGAAAACACTATTAGGCAAAAAACCCCAAGAAATATATGAACATTGGAGGAAGTTAGAGATCAGTTACCCTATAGAATAGCCTATTATTGATTCAGGAAGAATTGGGACAAGCTGTACATGATTTCTGTTTTCTACTGCTGGTTCTTTGTGCTTTTCGAACAAACGTTTTGTTTTACTGTGAATCTCATGTCATTTTGTGGTTTGTGTTGAGGCCAGCTTACCAGTGGTATAAGTTGCATGTTCTAAAGGTTTATAAGTTGTCAGGTTTTCGCCTGCTTGAGGGCCCTCCTTGAACGATGTCGAGGCAATCAGGGAATGATCTGCTCGGCTGAGTGAGTAGGTCTGAGCTATTTGTTTTTGTTTTAAATACATTTTGAAAATACATGTTTATTCATAGAAGTTAAGTGGGATCAGCTGAGTTTTGTTTTTATTTATTGATGAGCAAGATTCATTTAGCCAAATCACAGACTAAATTGAATTAATTGTGTGGCCTGATTTTCAGTTTGTTTTAGAACAAATTTAAGAATCGAGTGTTTAGGGAGTTTTTTCAATTCTGTAAAACTGACAATAAAGGAGAAAAACACTAAAGCTTTTTAGCTTTTCATTTGGAAGCATTTCATAAATCTTGCAGTGCTACCAAATGATATATAGTTCTGATGTGACCTAAAAGAGATATATATATTTTTTAATTTTAAAATTGAAATGTAGTAAATAAATGCTTATTTCAACATTATTTAAGTATGTTCATTTATATGGCACATTTTTAAGGTTCTAAATCATAGGAGGACAGACCATTACACCAAAAGGACCCAAGGAAGATTACTTGAATTTAAAATGATGGTGGCACAGGCAACTAAAACCCCTGAAGTTTAGACATGTATCCAATCTGATGAAGAGGGCTTTGGGGGGCTCTAAATATTTACTTAGAAGTACTTTGTCAAGATCAGGTAATAACTGATATAGACACTGAGTGGACCATAGCTGTGGTGTTGATTTTGAATCCTTTGTGGAGAGTTATTATAACCTTACACCTCTCTCTTCAACATGGTGCTGGTTATTATCTATGAGAGTTTTTATTACCAGACCTGGAAAACAAAACTTTTTTCAGAGGTCTGTAGTTTAGGCCTTTAATTTATGTGTCAGGTTTCAGAAAGCTGAGTTCAGAGTCACCTTCCTAATCTTAAGGAATAGCCAGTCTTATTTCCTCACTGCCACCTTCACACTTCCTAGCCAGGCTCCGAACACATCAGACAAGAAAGCTAAGACAGGTTGTTAGATAGTATACTGAGAGTTATTACTTTGTGGTTTTCATTGTGCTTTTAATTGTACTTTCTTTGCCAAACAAAAAATAATAATTTAATGTTGATTATGTGTTATTTAATATTGTAAAAGGGCAGTTATTAAGGTTATGGGCATTTGATGCCTTATAGGCTAATACCAAGTGTGTCATATTTAAAAATAAACCTATAAAAATGTTGTATTGTGTTTGTTAACTTTTATTTAAATCTGAATCTGTGATGCTGATTTTGTCTTTTTAAATTATGTTTCCAGAAAAAAATAAAAGTAATATCCCTGATTCAAGTATAAGATTCTTCCGGCTACCTATCATTGAACAATGTAAACTATGCCTTATTTTACTTTTACTTTATATGAAATAGTCAAAACTATTTGTGTTTCTCTAAATTACTCAGTATTGAACTCAGGCTGAGAATTGCATGATGTTGAAAAAATACATAAATAGATATTTAAAAAAACACAACTAAAAATCTAGAAAGCTTTCAGGTGAGAAACAAATATTGATTTAGCTATGCCGCTGCTCTTAAACGTCTCTTAATCTAACTTTGATCTCCATTTTCCTTTGAAGGATACATCATCTATATTATTAAGTAGAATTGCATCTTTATTATGTATAAGTGCTATCAAGGTTGAGAATTCTAAAGGGATAACTTGAAGTGAGGCCCCAAATATTGCTCCATTTATTTAAAACAAAAATTGTCCCAGCAGGTGTGGCTCAGTGGTTGAGCGTCAATCTACGAACCAGGAGGTCACGGTTTGATTCCCAGTCAGGACACATGCCCGGATTCCAGGATCGATCCTCAGTGTGTATATCTTTCTCCCTCACCCTTCTTCTCTGAAATCAATACAAATATTTTAAAAAAATAAAACAAAAATTGGATCAATATTCTTATCTTCTATAAAGAAATAAAATCTAGTTTTTAAATATATATTTATATGTCTTTTCTAGACTTTTTTTTAACTACCTATGATCATTCAGATTGAGCTACATTTCCAGTCTTCTGCTGCATGACCCTTAAAGGTCAGCAGGAAAGCTCTCACTGACCTATTCTGATGCCGGTACCTTTTCAAATGTTGCTGGTTGTCAAGCTAGAGGGGAAAATAGAGTCTGAAAGGTCTGGAACAGGCACTGCACCGCACAACTTGTTTCTCAAGTCTAGTTACACAGTCCCACTCAAGCCAGGAAACTCAGTCCCACCATAGGTCCTGAAATGGGAGGGTTAGGACTGTTTGGCAGATGACACTAATGACCGCCATAATTCCTAAGATCTTTGTGTTGTTAAAGCACACTATGGATCTATGAACATAAAAATTCTTATATTGTTTCATGACCACTTAATTATTTTAATATTTTTATACAGAGGGCAAAAATTATTCCAAAACCTCTCCAGAAAAAGCACAATTTAGTAGTACTTTATTTAAAATACTTAAACAGGGAGACCTGCCATAGTGGCTCAGTGGTTGAGCTTTGACCTATGACCCAGGAGTTCATGGTTCAATTCCTAGTCAGAGCACAGGAGGGGTGTATAGGAGGCAGCCAATCAATGATTCTCTGTCATCATTGATGTTTCTCTCTCTTTCCTTCTCCCTTTCTCTGAAATCAATTTAAAAAAATTAAAATACTTAAATAGGAAAATGATCATGATTTTCCTTAAGATAACTATATGCTTTTATTGTATTATTTTATAAGAATTAGGAGATTAAAAGAAACCAATACCAATGCTCTTAGCTCACAGATCAGAGGAAGTACTTTATTAAATCCTTATTATATATTATTCAAGTTATAGTTTATGTTATTCTCACAACATTCCTGCAAAACTAGTATTATTACCTGCATTTCATAAATGAAACTCTAAAGCTCAGGAATATTAGATGACTAGCCAGAGTTAAACAACTAATAACAGTGGAGAAAGGATTGACACCTAGGACTGCTTCACTAAAAGCTCATGCATTCCAGGTTAGAAGGAATATTACTCTTCTTACAAAATACATCAATTTATGCTACCGATTTTATTTCATATTTATCATTTTATAAAATAAAGTAATGGTCAAGAGATTTAAGAAATAAACTTATAAAGAAATCATTCCAATATTTTGCTTTTGGATAATATAGCCATTTCTCAAAATATAAAACCAGATTAAACCTATCAAAACTCACAACCATCCTACTCACTGCTCCCACTGAGATTCAGATAAACTTGTGCTGACAATTTGCCTTGGAGCAGAAAAGAAAATGTAGTTATTCTTCCTATGTGCTTAATAATTCTCATAGGATTTATGTAGTCTCCAGTAAGGAACTCAAAGATGGAAAGTCCTATTTGAGTGGTTCCATTATGTCAGGCATTCTTTCTCATGTATGGTGTCTTACTTCATCTTCCCACCCCCTTATGTAATAAGGGCTTCAGAACCCAGAACCAGGAAACAAATGACTTGAAGTTTGAATGCCTGCTCCTCTACTCTTGTCAACTCATCTGAGCCATAGTTTCTCCATCTGGAAAACAGGGATAATACTAGTACTGTTTGCTTTTCAGGACTCTGATGAAACAAGAAAAATAAAACAAAGGATGAGAGAGAGTCCTGTCTGAAGTCCATCATTAGGTCCATTATCTTCAGTGGGTTGCTTTGTAACAGCAGAACCCGGTTATAGAGAAGTACTTTGGGAGCTATGTTCATGTTAAGTACTACTGATTGACAAATAACTGAATTGGGCGATTATCAGGATCATAAATAATCTCCTTCACCCCCTACTTCCTCCTTCTCCTCCTCTTCCTTTGTCCTACAATACCCCTCTTTCATCTTCCTCCTCCACCTCCTCCTCCTCCTCATCATCACCATCTATGTGGAAACTATTCATTTGGAGGTCTCTTAATCCCACCATCATATATATGTCCAAGAAAGAAAATTATATTTACCTCCATGAAACAGAAAATAAATCTGGAAATTGTCTTTTGCCTAATTGTGAGATATGATGTGCTAATATCTTGTACTGTATATCCAAGAAAAGGAAGAAATGGGTTTGATGAACAGCTAATCAGTCTCCACCAAAATGTATGACATGCTTGTAGTCAATTTCCTGTTTGATATTTGCTTTTTATAATTACTTTCTTCATTTATGCTTATCAAAGTTTTCTCCTTATTAACAGAATATATGGGTTGTTTTTTCACAAGTGAGTTAGGCTAAGTATCACATGATAAAATCTCAAGGTATATCATATTCAGTGATATATATATATTTCTGTGTGCTTTTGGCTCTCATAAGGTTGCAGTCAAGATTCTGCCTAGGCCTACAGCATCTTAAGATTTAACTGGGACTGAAGGATTCTATTCCTAGATGGCTCATTCACATGGCTGGCAAGTTTGTGCTGTCTGTTGGCTGGAGGCCTTGATCCCTTACCACATAGACCTCTCAACAGGGTCTTGAGCTTCCTCAAAACATGGCTTTGTTTTCCCATAAAGAGAGTGAGCCTAGATAGTAAGGAGAATGCTGCAAAAAATTTTATAGCCAAGTTTCAGAAATGAAACACTGTGACTTCTACTGTATTCTAAATAGTTGCTAAGTCCAGCTCACTCTCAAGGAGAGGGAACTAGCTTCATATTATGAAAGGAGGAATGCCAAAATAGGGATGTGTATATTTTAAAACCTCATCACTCAATGTTTTGAATTTTCTATATCCCTTCATCTTCTTTAGTGCTACTAATATGGCATTTCTGTACTTCTTTGGTATTTTAATTAACTCCTTTACTTAATTACTACTTAATTAACCTTAACACTTTTAGAAATGTTAATTATATCTATTATATAGAATGTATTAGTGAGAGTATTGAGTTTTATCTTTAAAAAATCTTCCCTAACCTAGGGAAGGAAATAGATATACAAGTCCAGAAG